TTTTAAACACGAGTATCTGTACTTCTACTGGAGTAAAGGATGTGTGTACTTTTGCCATCTCTGCCATTAAAGTATTATCGTATCGTATCATTGTGCAAAGCTGCAGTTATGTCAGCTCATTGGTTTCTTTAAGAAGCAGCTCATTGGTTGAAACATGTCCTTTATGTCTTTGTCTCTCAGGAGAAGCGTCTGCGGGACAGACAGACGGAGACGGAGGAGAGTTTACAGAAGCGTCTGGAAGCAGCTCGCATCGACATGGAGCTCAGTGAGTGTCTCAGTGGGACATGACGACGCTGATATAAAGAGCATTATGAAACTAATCCAATGTTCTCCTGCAGGCAACGAGCCAGGGGTGTTCGATGTGGTCATCATCAACGATGACTTAGAGAGAGCTTACGAGGAGCTGAGAGACATCCTCAGTGACGTGAGTTCAACTAAAAACACATCCAACGTCATTCATTCACTGCTGACTAGTGTCTGCCAGCTGCTGCTGTTTACCTAGAGCCTGTGTTTAAAGCAGTGGTGGAGAGTAACTACGCTCATTATCAATACTGGAAACACAGTGTTAGACTTCTACTGCACTACATGTCAGAGGTAAATGTTGGATGTTTTTACCCACTAAATTAATCTAATACCTTAAAGCAGGGGGTTCAAACTCAAATACACAGGGGGACAACTTTTAAAAATGGGTACTAGTCGAGGGCCGGACTGGTTCAATGTTTATTGCAGAACTTAATGAAATGAACTTATTGCACATATTAAACCTGGAACTAACAAAGCTTAAATGATTGCCTATAAAAACAACATTAAACATTAAATAATCAGTTCATTCATTTCTTATGGCTCTATCTGCAGATTTTCCAGAGTCATTTCTTATGATCACATTTTCCCACAGGCCAACAACAGCTTCAACAAAACTATTTCCCTCAAAGAGAAACCAAACATGCCCTGTTGTCGTGAGAGAAAGTGCAGAAGGAAACATCCATTAAACTCAGTGTGCTGCTCTGTGATGCTAGCTCAGATACTTGGCATCTCATCTTGGGTGCAAGGTCAGCAATGTTTGGGCTCAGGCTCTGAGCTGAGGAGACCCTCAGGATGGAGTGAAGGTGTGCGTGCAATATACCGACGGGCCAGATCTAATAGGAATTAGAAATTATCCTGAGGGCCGAAATTAAATCCACCCAGGGCCTGATTTGGCCCCCGGGCCTTAAGTTTGACACATGTGCCTTAAATTAACCTTTTAGATAACTGATATCAAATATAAGAAATACATCAATTTGACTTTAGGTATACCTGGAATAAATGCACACGCTAACAAGCAATATTTAATTGGGTTCCTATTTAGGTATTTGTAGAGCTTTCCCTTTCCTGTTTCATAGGTTTTAGTGCATGTGAAACGCCTCCATTGGACTTCTTTGTTTACTTCTGTAACAATGACATCACTATGTAACACTCGCACTTTATTGGCTAACGATCCAAAACATTGTACGTGATAGGCCAAGGGGCGGGACATCAGTAGAGACACTCAATGTCCTCTTTAAAAGCACAACGAGTAAAAGTAAGTATCTTCTTCTTTCTTTCAACAGGAAATCAAGAAAGTGAAGGAGGTGAAATCCTAAGGAGGAAAATCTTTCTGCTGCTGTGACTCTGAATAACTTCACACCGACTGCATCACAGTTTCAGATACACTTGGTCTTTATCATCTAAGAGTTGGCACTGACATCACATCAATATGAAGCACACATCATTATCTCCAGTCAGAACATCACTGCAAAATATGACACTTTCATTCATTAGTTTGGTTGTATTCTTGGTAACAATGAAATCACTCGTAGTTAAGTACATGACTGCTATAACTACTATTACATTAACTAAATATTTACTGCTGCCAATGTCTTAAATGTGGAGGAACGTCGAGATCAAATGAATGAATGAAAAACATTCCCACGTAAGTTTGTGTTCAAAAAGGCTGAATAAAGAAAGTGAAGACAACCGGAGACCACGTTGGTGCCATTTATTTAATCTTGTATTCATAAATTCATTCGGGTATTGAAGTATTACCTGGCATTTATTAAAACCTACAAGTAATGGATTTCTCAGTTGTACGTTAAAACTTTAAGGCAAAATGTGAACAATTTGAAATAACTCAGAAAAACTGTTTCCCCTTTAAGGCCGTGCATCTGTCACCAGTTTCTCGTGTAACTAAGTCTAGATTTGAAAACTCATGCACTCTGAAAGACTTATCCCTGATATGTTTCCATAAACCAAAGCACACACTTATAAAAGCTTCTGGATAAATACATAAAAACTCATTAAGACGCATCACATTTTTTAAATCAGAGGAAACTAAAAATGAATTTATGAACCTTGCTGAAATTAAATGTGCTGGATAGTTGTAAAGATCTGCTATCATACTGTTTCTCAGATATATATTTCAGGTCTCAGATATATCCAGAACCTGTCTCTGATTGGCTGAAACACCAAACAGATCATTGCAGCATTACCCATAATCCCCTCTGTTTCAGCCCTGTTTCCAAAGTGCTGATTCTCTGTCTGTTACTTTAGATGAAAATAAGGAGCCCCTCCCCACGCCCCTCTGAGAGACATTTGGTTACAAAGAACTCAATGGTGCTCTAGGAGGAGATTCAGGTGATAAGGAGGGGGGAGGGGGGGGGTTACCTTGGTTGCTGATTGGCTAATGGTTACACAAGACAAAACATCGTTATGACATCATAAAGTGGCCAAAATCTGGTCAGCTCATTTTCAGACAGGTTTTTATAGAAATGGATCAAAAAGAGAGAGAATCTTTGTTCCTGAAACTTTCAGAGGGGACACATGTTGTGTAGAGAACATGAAGAAGAGGGGACACATGTTGATGTAGAAGAGACATGAAGAAGAGGGGACACATGTTGATGTAGAAGAGACATGAAGAAGAGGGGACACATGTTGATGTAGAAGAGACATGAAGAAGAGGGGACACATGTTGATGTAGAAGAGACATGAAGAAGAGGGGACACATGCTGATGTAGAAGAGACATGAAGAAGAGGGGACACATGTTGATGTAGAAGAGACATGAAGAAGAGGGGACACATGGTGATGTAGATCATAGTAGGTGATCTTTAAAGAGAGTGTGTTTCACTGGAGGGGGGGTCCCTGGATCTTGGTGCGCACCAGCTCTCGTTTCTCTTCTTTCTGCTGGAGGTAATCCTTCAGCTTGTCGGGGGAGAAACTGACTTTGGAGTGACGGGCGCGATGAGCTCTCAGCCACGAGTTCTGGAGACACTCTGCTGCCGTGGGTCTCCCCCTGCAGAGATGATATCATATTAGAAAATATACACATTTATCTTCTAATTTTTATTTAACTAGTTTGAATGTAGGAAATTGAGACCACTTTGCCCAGTTGTATATTGTATTTATTACCCCATGTTCTGATTTTTTAGTAATACTTTAAACAAGATTCAAAGCCTTTATTTTCATTTGAACATTACAAATTCAACATTCAATATAGTTTAAGAAAAAAATTAAAGGGGCAATAGATAGAGCAAGACAATAATGCCAAACACACAATGTAAATTTCAGGATATATAAAACATATTCATATAAAATAGAATACGATTAAACAGTATGCAAAATTAAATAATAGGTTGGTCTTAGAATATTGTATTCTAACTTTTAATTTAATTAAAGAAATGTATGGCATCAGTGCAATCTAGTTCTATTAACCCCTGCTATTGTCTTCGTTCCCCCCCCCCCTTACTTTGGTGTTCGCGGTCAAATTTGACCGGTCCTGTTTTAACTGCTATTACATTAACACAAAAACCATTAATCATCACCAAATGTCATTTAACACCCTTTCAAACTGTACATATTGTATCAGACTAC